AAGCACCGTCTCGACGTAGCACCCGACGTCGACGCCGTCGAGCTGGCTCAGGCGCACGAGGTTCGTGCCCACGAGGATGCGCAGCTCCTGCCGCTCCTTCTCGCGCCGCTTGCGCTCGTTCTTCGCGCCCTGGTTCTGCATGCGGACCCAGAGCCGGTTCGTCTCCGAGAAGTTCTGGAGCACGAAGTCGACGGCGTCGGACACGTCGCCGCCGTGGCCCTCGTACTCGGAGCCGGCGTCGGGCAGCTTGTCCTTGCAGGCCTGGGCGAGGTAGTTGCGCAGGAAGAGGCCCCGCATCGGGTGCTGCACGCCCTTGGCCATCTCGACGAGGTCGTTGAGGATGTCCTTCGCGGGCGCCTGGCGCGACTTGATGTAGACGGCGCCCACCGTGATGAGGAGGTAGAGCCGCGGCAGCACGTCGCCGCAGGCCTGGGCCTTCTCGTAGAGCTCGCTCGCCTGCGTGCCGCTCGCGCACAGCCCGCTGAAAAAGTCGTCGAGGTGGTGGAGCTCGTCGAGCACCTTCATGTAGAGCTCGTAGTAGTTCCGCGGCGTCAGCAGCGACGTCCGCAGCTCCCGGAGCATGTCCGACGCGTGCTGGAGCGCGCCCTTGAGGTCGCTCGCGTCCATGGCACGCTTCATGTAGAAGCCCTGCTCCTTGACCTTTTTCGTGGCCTCGGCGAGGTACTGCGGCTGGTTCTCGAGGGCCGGCGTCGCCATGGTCGGTGTCTGGGGTCTTACCCTTCCCGACCTGCCTTTTCACGGCGCGCGCGACGCCCACTTTCGCAGGCCAATCGCGCTCGCGTCCACGGGCCGCCGGCGTCTTGTGGCGAAGCCAGCGCTTCCCTTGTGGCGAGCCGATCAGACCAGGATGGCGTGGTCAAGCTGCAAGATGCTAGCGCTCACGCTGGCCCTGGCCGCCGGCTTCCGCACCCAGAGCCTGCGCGCCGCGCCGCGCCGGTCGTCGGCGCTGTCCGCGTCAAAGCGAGTCGCCGTCTGCGGCCCGTCGGGCGGCACGGTCGCCGACGGCATCGCCGCCCGGCTCGCGGCGGGCGGCGCCGAGGTCGTGCGCGTCGTCGACGGCGAGGGCCGGAGCGGCCGCGTCGACGCGGCGGTGTGCTGCGGCGACGGGTCCGACGACGTCGCGCTGTCCAAGCTCCTGGACGCGTGCGAGCCGACGCCGGCGACGGTCGTCGTCGTCGGGCCCGGCGGCGGCGACGGCGAGGAGGAGGCCGGCGGCCTGCGGGCCGTGCTCGGCAGGGTGCCGGGCTTCGACAAGGGCTTCAGCGACCCGGCGGCCGTCGCGACCAAGGCGCTCGGCGGCGCCGCGCGGACCGCGTGCGTCGTCCTCCACGGGCCCCTCTTCGGCGGCGTCGCGCTGGAGGGCGAGCTGCAGGCCTTCAAGAGCGGCCTGCTCAAGGAGCCCGTGCTCGAGGACGACTTCGGCCGCCGCGGCGCGCGCGTCGCCGTCGTCCGCGACGGCGCCAAGGGCGAGGACCAGATGTTCAGCTCCGGCACGTGGCTCGGCCTCGGCGACATGGCCGCGGCGACGGAGCGGGGCCAGATGCGCGAGGCGCAGGGCGTCGCCGCCAAGCCGCTGGCGGCGACGCGGCGCGGCGCCGTCGCCGACGCCGTCGTCGCGGCCCTCGCGTCGCCCGAGTTGAAGCCGGGCCTGGCCAAGTTCGAGGTCCGGTCCGCCGCGGGCGAGAAGGCGCCGTCCGCGGACGACTGGGCGGCCCTGCTCGCCGAGGTGCTCCAGGCGGGGAAGTCCACCAAGGCCCTGGCGAGCCGCCTCGACGCGCGCTACGACTGGGCGCCGGAGCCGCTGTCGTCGTGGCTCTGCGGCGAGTGGGGGCCGACGGCGCTCCGGTCCGTCGACGCGACGCTCGCGATCCGCGGCGCGCGGCCCGTCGCCTTCGTGGCGCCCGCGGACCCGTCGTCGGGCCAGCTCGGCGCGCTCCGCTGGGAGACGCTCACGAACGCCGGCGTCGAGGCCGACGGCCGGCTCGAGTTCGCGCTCGTCGCCGCGGGCGGCGGCCTCGACCTCGTCGCCACGCGGGACCGCATCGACGAGCTCACGGGCGAGGCCGACCTCATGGACCTGCTCGTCGACGCGCTCGGCAAGTACGCGGCGACGCGCGCGGCGCCGTCCGCGGCCGCGGCCGCGGCCGCGGAGGCCGCGGAGATCGCCGCGGCCAACGCCGTCGACGAGGAGCCCGCGCCGGCGCCGGTCGCCGTCGCCTCGGCCGCGGCGGAGAACCCCTACTACGAGGCGCCGAAGGAGGCCGAGAAGACCGTCACCGCGCCCGCGAAAAAACGCCGCTCGGCCGTGCGCACGCGGTCCGCGAAGCGGAAAGGGGACCCGGGGAAGTGAGGCGGCGAGGTCGCCGGGGGCGTAACACCGTGGCGTAGAGCAGCAACGGAGCCTCCCGTGTCCTGCCCCCGGGAGTCGTCGAGCCTGCGCACGGCGCGCACGATAGCGAGCGTCGGACCCCCGGGCCGGCGCCGGGGCGGCGGGCGGCTGGCTGGCTTCAGCCCAATGGCTCTGTCTCTGGACCGCACAGTAGCGTTGCTCCTGCAGCTCGTCGCGTCGACAGCTGCGGGGTCCGACGCGCCATCATCACCGAAAGCTCAAGCTGTGTATTCCCTATCGGAACCGCAGCGCGCGTCGCTCGTCCGCCTCCGGCGTCCATCTCAAACCGGCAGAAGGAATTTGAAAGAATATCCGCCCGCACCCGCCGAGACATGAGATCCCGTCTCTCTCAGGCGTCGATCATCGAGCTGACCCAGGGCGCCGACGAGTCCGAGGGCGACGCCGCGGGCACGCGCTGCGGCCTCGCGGACCTGGTGGACGACGCCGACGCCGCGTTCACGGCGGAATCGGAGCCCGGCGACAGGGCGTCCATGTGGGACGCGACGACGGGCCGGCCGACGGAGGCCGTGGCGGCCCTGCGGAAGCGCGTCGCCGCGCGGCTCGGCGCGCTCGACGGGTCCTGCGGCGCGCGCGGCGGCGAGCTGCGGCTCCGCGCGGCGCTGGCGCTCGTGAACAGCTGCCTCGTCGGGCGGAGCGCGAACTTCAAGGTCGAGCGGACGACGTCCGACGACTTCGCGGACCTGCTGGGCCCCTGGTTCGCGCCGGGCGTCGGCGCCGTGCTCCTGCTGGCCGTCGGCGGATTCCTCGCGGCGTTCGACGCCTTGGTCGCGTCGCCGCTCTTGGGGCCCAAGCGGGCGCGCGTGCCCTGCGCGTGCCGCCTCTGCGCCGGCGCCGTGCGCGTCGACGAGAAGATCGGCGAGGGCGGCTTCGGCGCGGTCTGGCGCTGCGCGACGCCGGCGGGCGTCGTGCTGAAACTCGTGCGCGTCTGTGTGGATATCAACCACTGGTTTCGGTGGTCCTGACCAAACTTCAGAATTCTCTAGCTCGGTCAAATCGAAGTCGATTCGGCTGATTTTTGGACGAATCGATTGCTCTCGTCGAGTTCTCGAAGCACAGCCGAAGAGCTTGCGTCGAAACTGTCGCATACGCGCACATTGAAGTCGGGTTGAAGAATTGATTTCCACACAGGTGCGCGTCGACCTCGAGCGCGACATCCACGGGTTGCAGAACGTGCTCGACGAGGCGCGGCACCTGCAGGCCCTGCGCCACGACCACATCGTCGCCTACTACGACACCTTCGTGCACCGCGAGGACGGCTCCAACGGCCTCTTCTCGCTCGACCTCCGCGGCGGCGCCGTCGCCGACTACGCGTGCATCGCCATGGAGGACTGCGCCGGCGGAAGCTTACTGGACCACGTCGCCTCCGGCGTGCCCTTCCCGCTGCCCGCCGTCGTCGAGGTCACGCGCCAGGCGCGACGGGG